TGGTAAGTGCATTTTAATTGTTTACAAATTATATCTTATTACCTTATAAATACATTATTTACACCAACAATCGTGGAGACTCAGGCATTATTTTACTTATATTTGATTTACAGTTTCACAGAGTTCTACGCCTTATGACATTAATTAAAATAGTCTTGAAATAACAATGAATTAGAAATACTACCCTAAAGACATGCAATAACACATAGAAATGTGTTTAGTATTTATAATTATATATATTATTGGCGCATTTAGACAACTTCGATCTTCGCGTACACTCTCGCGTAAAGAACGGTCACTTTTCCATCTTGTGTTCTTTCGAGAGGCGATCAGCAGGACGAGACGCCTTCGGAAATCTAGAACACACCCACGCGAGACAGCAACAACCTGCAACTGGTAAACATTAGGCATTAAATCGAGCGCATACTTAAGGGTCATATCGTTCGCACGCTCTCTTATGCAACGATCCTCTCACGCGCCACGATAAAAACGCATCCCTCATTCGTTGTACATGTCCACACGTATGTACATTCTACTCTCGCAGATTCGATTTCATACTATTTTTCCGCAGCTCTTTTAAATTCTCCACAGGAAGATCGTCAACAAAGATCTCGATTGACATGCTATCAAAAATAGCTCTTGCATCGTATTTTTAAGTCCTGAAAAATCATACAAGTATCTATACAATTGCACAAAGTACTTGGGTAACACAATTAATTGTATAATTGTACAAAAATTTTCTATTTTCTAAAAAATTACCCAAGTAATTGTATAAAACGGTGATCGCATAATCTGCGATCCATCTGTGAATTTTTTGCGATCTGCTGGCTCATAGCCGAAAATGTAAAATTATATTTTCTATTTTATGTAAACAAAATAACATTATGCGGCCTAAAATATCTTACTTTTAAGAGTATTCCTCTGAAAATAATGTTTAAGAAAGGCTGTGCATTACAGTATTTTGATTGGAAATAATTATACAAAATATAAATAATTATACAAAGTATAATTATTTAGAAGTATACACAAAGAGTTGCTGGTATAATTAATTAATTTCTCATTATCAATATATTATTGACATAAGACAGAAGCAATCTAAAATTGAAGCATTAATATTGAGTTCTTAAGCCAACAGTAAAAGTAAGGAATTACTAGTAATTTAGTATTATCTCGAAGTCGACGGAGCAATGAGAATTCAAAAATCTCTAACGAAGACAATAATCCAGTATATATTTAGAATTTTTTTAATGATATTGGTTATAATAAAAAATAAATGGAACAAATAATCAACATTAATTAGTAATTTTCGTATTCGTACGAATTATGTGAAGCATTTTAATCGAGTTTACTTAAAATGAAGTAATTAAGAGCAAATATTCCATTTATCAATTTAGTTAATTACGTCTCAAGAGACGCAGGAAAACATTTTTATTAACGACACATCCAATATGCAATTAATTATTAACCTATCCAATGTAGTTAATTATCTTCCTCACGTGTACATTTTCAAATATTAAAATATAAGATTAATTTAGTTAATTCAATAATTATTTATCATGCGGCAAAATATATTAGCACAATAGTATTATACAAAATGCGCTTCAGTCAGAGTGTCACTATTAATACTAACAATTAATATTAACACTTTACTAGCAGAATTTGTGCTTTGCAGATATAGATACATTAAATAGTATTAGAAATAAATACTTATACACAGGATATGAAAATGTAATTATAATTAATTACAATAAAATTACAATCACGCTGTATTCAATCGCAATTTAGTTATCAGGAGAGTTATCGAGTAAATTGATGTATGTTCTTAAAGGTTCAATTTGCACGAGATGGACTGGCGCCGCGAAGAGAAAGTTACGACGCGATTCAACTTCATTTCCATTAGATTCAGATTGAGGGTCGGTCACCGGATAACCTTGGACCCGAGGAAGGTTTGCCTCAATACTGAGAGATCACGAACGTACGATCGCGGAATCGACTCCGGAATCGCGGGTATTTAGGTCAGCTCAGCTACGATTCTCTGCTATTTGAATTATTCCCTGTCGCCGTTGCATTGTTAATGGCTGCCTGTCGTACGAAGTAAGTTATTACATAGAAAATTCGATTTTAGGTAGACTCGAATTGCCTATATTTAAAGCCTTGTTTCATATTTGTCACGGAGCAAACATAATAGAAATGCGGTTTGTCAGTTTGATGTTATCTGTTTCTTTCTAACTTTCTAATTTAACGAAGATTAATATTGCGGTTTACTCGGAGAAAATAATCGTAAATGGTGATAAATAAAAAGATACGTTTCGTTATTGCGGACGAGTGTATTGCAATTCGTAAGGTACAAATAGTACAAAGGGTATAAGAGTACAAACATTGCGTAGGAACTAGATTATGCGGACATAGAAAAAGTACAGTTCAGAGACATGATATAGCAACTTCCTCGTTCTGCTCTCTCCTCTTATATCACTCGCAAATTGCATCCTTCGTGATTTCGCCCTGATTTTATCTTTTTAGATAGGAGAGGATTCATGCCGAGATCGTAAACGCGTTAACAATGTGCACGAGAAAAGTCTATGCGAAAAGGACGAATCTACTGCAAAAGGCTTTCTCTTGCAACATTTGAAGTAAAATGTATAGCGGGAGATCATTAATTATATTAATAATTAGGCTGTAACGATTTAATCTAAATCATTATTTATTATTTACTTTTGAAGCCTTGTTGCTTAGGCATTATTTAATATTTACTTTTGAAGCCCATTTGTATTTTTCATATCGCTTCTTGTTACGATGTTCTCTGACTGCTCTATATAGGACGAAGATGTAGGCGAGAGAGAAGAAGTGAAGGAAAGAATGGACATGGGATCTCGGCATAAGTCCTCGGGATTCTCAATAAACGTAACATATCGCGCGTAAATCCTATGTCAGATTATAATAAATATTATATAGAACAACGTAATAATAAATATATATTTATATCTTGTATATTTAAATATGTGTATGTATGTATATATGTATATATTTATATTATATATATATATATATATGTATATATACATATGCATATATACATAAATACGTTATAGGAAGAAACATGTCGACACAACTAGCGCTAAACACCGAGAATTCGCTTTTTTATTGTATACTCTCCACCGTTTATTTACAGCCATCTTAAAGAAACTATATCTTACAAAAGATCGACTGCACCGACCGGATAACTAGAATTCGCAACGGCAATAATCAATATCAA